AAATAAATAAAATATTGACTAAAATAATGTAAAATAAAATATAAAAATAAATAAATATTGAATAAAAATATAAGTAACAATAAAAAAATGTTATGCTTGATAAATATATTTAATTTATAATTCATAAAAATTATATTTATGTATAATTTTTTGATACATATATATTTTTATATTTTTTATATATATATTTATATAAATTTTGAAATATATAGAAAATAATAAATTTATTAATTAAATAAACTCTTCATGGATAAACTTTAATAAAAATTATAAAATATACTTATATAAAGTAAAAATAAATAAAAAATAAACAAAAAATAAAATAAATTTAATAAATTAATTATAAACAAAAAATCAATTACACCATATAAAGCTTACAAATATACATTTCAAAAATAAAATAATAATGTAGAAAAGAAGATTTTTTTTTAAATATTGAATATTAATTTGTTTATGATAAACGTATCTCAGTACATATATGATATTTAAAAATCTAACTAAATTTTTGGGTACTACTCCGTTTCCTACTCCGTTATGCAAGTCAAAAAATAGAAATATTCATTAATCTTGTAACACAGTTTCAATATTCATAAATGTTTTAAAATGATCCAAATTCTATATTTTTTAAATTCTATGTTTTTATTTATATCTGTTTTATCTCTTACATATTTTCGTGAATAGAAAAGATAAATTTAAAGAAAATATATTTCCAATTTAATTACAAAATCCATACATTGCGGCTGTAGTATGAAGATATTCAGATTATGTTCTGTTAATAATCAGTTTTTATGATTGATCTAAAATGAAAAACTGTGGACTTTCAAAGAAATTTTAAATTCTTTAGCACTAATTCTAATTATTAGTGTGAGTAAAAAATTAATAGATAATATCTTAACACACAGCAAAGTTATATTACTATTGCTGTACTAACTGCAATTATGGAACATAGTTCCAATAATATCAAGTGTAAAAATATTGCACCAAGATCGAATCATTAATATAAAATGATTAGTACTGAACATTCACTAATAGTAAAATTATCTTTAAACTTAATATGTTTTTCAAAAAGTGTTTAAAAAATCGAAACCCATATATACTTATTATACTTTAGTTCATCGCAATAATTAAGTCAGAAATTAAATTTTGATATATAATAAATTCATATCATATTTTCATTGTTCTGTACAATATTCCGTGCTAGAATTGCAGAAATTTAACAGATAATAAATAATAATTAATAATTTGAATTACACAATTAACAATTGATAGGTGAAAAGAAAATAAATAGATAACATAATTGGTTTTTGATTGATTTTTAAAACCGACATGTGAACATTTCTGAAGTGGATACTATCGTATATCCATTTGAGTATTGAAAATGAGTAGCCAGTGTTAAAATTGAAAGAGTTTGAAGCACAGATTGAAGCACAGATTGAAGCACAGATTGAAGTACAGATTGAAGCACAGATTGAAGCACAGTTTGAAGCACAGTTGGAAGCACAGATTAAAGCACAGATTGAAGCACAGATTGAAACACCAGAACAACGTGCAATTCGTTCAGAAAGTATGAGAACATAGCGAAAATAAATGTTTAAGAATAAATATTTAATTTTGTTGTTTTTGTTGTTTTCATAATCAGATATAATCTATTACATGTCTTTCCTTTCTCAACATGAACTTGTTTTAATATATATTAGTTTTGTTAAACAAGGATTAGTTTCTTTCATTAGAATTGTGATCACGATTATGGTTATGATTAGTAGTTGGAAATATTAGCTATAAAAGTAAGGAGGGTGAAAACGAATTATATATGTATACATACCTACATATATCTGTATAGCATATAAATATATTGCTTATATGCGCTATTTATTAGAAGTCGTGTAAAACTGAAAAATTCAATGTTACTTAAGCCTATTAAAATTTTCATAAGTATTGACCTTTGTTTTTACATATCAGATAATTAAATAGTCTCAAAATGGGTGACATGTTCCGTACGGAAAAGATGACGTTATGTCAATTATTCATACAACCGGAAGCGGCATATGCTACAGCAGCAGTATTAGGTGAGAAAGGATGTGTTCAATTTAGAGATGTAAGTCCACTTCAATTATGTTGAATCTAAAATCATCAAACTCAATTTGTGATTCGCAGCTCAATGAAGGCGTAACTGCTTTCCAACGAAAATTCGTAAATGAGGTACGTCGTTGTGATGAGATGGAAAGACAAATGCGTTATATAGAAGCTGAAATAACCAAAGATGAAATCAAAATACCAGAATTGTATTTTGATGAACTACCAGATGCACCGAATCCTAGAGAAATAATCGATTTAGAAGCCAATTTGGAAAAAACCGAAGTGGATGTACGTGAACTCGCAGCAAATGAACTGAAAATAAAAACAAACCATTTGGAGCTCATCGAAATGCGAACGGTACTCGAGAATACAGAGGGTTTCTTTTCGGAACAGGAAGTTATTGATTTGGATATTAACCGTAGTAACATCAAGACAAATACCGATGGAGCTAATTTAGCTTTTGTTGCTGGAGTTATTAATCGGGAACGTGTGTTTGCATTTGAACGCATGTTATGGCGCATGTCACGAGGAAATGTTTTTTTAAAACAAGCCGATATGCATGAACAGCTGAAGGATCCGATTACTGGTAATGTCCTATATAAAACCGTTTTTGTCGCATTCTTTCAAGGTGAGCACTTGAAACAACGAGTAAAAAAGGTTTGCGCCGGTTTTCATGCTGCCATGTATCCTTGCCCAAGTTCACATGAAGACCGCATTGGTATGTTAAAAGGAGTGCGCACACGTATTGATGATATTAAAATTGTGATACAGCAATCTGAAGATCATCGTAGTCGTGTACTTAATACTGCTGCTAAACACATAAACACTTGGACTGTTATGGTAAAGAAAATGAAAGCCATCTATCATACACTAAATTGTTTTAATATTGATGTGACAGAAAAGTGTTTAATCGGAGAAGGTTGGGTACCAACTAAAGATATGCCCACCGTACAACAATGTCTTTTAGATGGGTCTTCAGCTGTAGGCAGTACAGTGCCTTCATTCCTAAATGTTCTGGATTCACATGAAGCACCACCATCATATATACGTACTAATAAGTTTACTAATGGTTTTCAGAATTTAATTGATTCTTATGGACTGTCTTCATATCGCGAAGTCAATCCCGCCTTGTATACATGCATAACGTTCCCATTCTTGTTCGCTGTAATGTTCGGCGATTTGGGACACGGATTCTGTATGTTCTTATTCGGTTTGTCAATGGTAATCTATGAAAAGAAACTGGGTAGACAACGCAGGGGAGAGATTTTAAATATTATGTTCAGTGGTCGTTATATTATAATGTTGATGGGTCTATTTGCTTGTTATACTGGATTTACTTACAATGATATATTTTCGAAATCACTTAACGTTTTTGGTTCGAAGTGGCGTATACGTTATAATACAACCACCGTACTCACCAACCCCACACTTCAGTTAAATCCGGAATATGCTACTGTTGGTGTTTATCCCTGGGGCTTGGATCCGATTTGGCAATTGGCAGATGACAATCAAATTATTTTCACTAACAGTTATAAAATGAAATTATCTGTTATATTCGGTGTTTTGCATATGATTTTCGGACTTTGTCTTTCTGTGGAGAACTTTATATACTTCAAACGATACTCAAACATCTTTCTGGAATTCTTACCACAAGCTCTATTTTTATTGTTACTCTTTGGTTATATGGTGTTCATGATGTTCTTCAAATGGGTGAAATACTCAGCCACATCAGATATTCAATCTAATTCCCCTGCATGTGCACCTTCGGTGTTGATCACATTCATAAAGATGATGTTGTTTGGGGAGATGACTGCGCTACCCGGATGCGATGCTTATATGTTTAGTGGACAAGCACAACTGGAAAAGATTTTTGTGATTGTTGCAGTTGTTTGTATACCATGGATATTGCTAGGAAAACCGTTTTGGATAATGTTCACACGCAGAAACAACAAAACTGTAACTATCGATTAAATAAATAAATATTTTTAAACAATAATTTATATATATGTATATATTTATTTGAACAGACTAGTTATGATGTGGAATCGATTGATGAAGATAAACCAAGTGAAAGTAAAGCTGCTGTCGCTCATGGTGAGCCTGAAGAAGAACCAATGTCCGAAATATTCATACACCAAGCCATACACACAATTGAATATGTGCTAAGTACAATTTCCCATACTGCTTCTTATTTACGTCTATGGGCTTTATCGTTAGCTCATGCAGGTATGAAATGTAATGTGTGCAGAATTATAGTGATTTTCAAACTGTATACTTTATAGAGTTATCACAAGTATTATGGAATATGGTATTGCGTATGGGTTTGACAAAGTGTACTGGTTATATAGGAATTGTGGCTGTTTTCCTGCTTTTCGGTTTCTGGACAGTTTTAACTATTGCTATCATGATTATGATGGAAGGTTTGTCAGCATTTTTACATACATTGCGTTTGCATTGGTAAGTAATTGGTAACTTCGGACTTATAAGTATTGTACTGATATGATATATTTAATTTCTTTTATAGGGTTGAGTTCATGAGCAAATTTTATTCTGGTGAAGGGTATGCTTTCCAACCATTTAGTTTTAAAATTCTCATAGAATCCAATGATGATTAAATATTTTAACAAATATTATAAAATATTTTGAGTATATACAATTAATTAAATTAAATTTGTTATTAATTACATTAAAAAGTGTTTAATTAAAATTGACCAAAAAAATAAATAAAATTGGTAAAAAGCTGATAGCTGTCAGAAGAGAAGTGTAAAGAGTATTTGTTCTCTTGGAAAAACAATGTGTAAAATATTGATAAAATTATTAAATAATAGAAAAGTTCTTACACTCACATATTCTTTTTTTTTTGTTAAAGCACATTTATTGAAATGGAATAATCAATCAAAATTTTGATTGAATGCTTCAGAGTATAAAAGTCGGTGACAATGTGGTTTTTTCTGAGTTGAAAACTCCCTAAAGGTGGACAAGTGTGATTTTTGTGCAAAATAAATTTTTATTTTTTAAATATAAAATTTTGAATAACTTCTGAAGAACATTAATATATATACCAAAGCAAGGATGTGAGTGTGAAATGGCAATAAAAAAATAAAAAAATAAAGATTAAAATATTAATTCAATATATTATATAAAAAAATATAAGAAACTCCAATCAAACTAAAAAGCTAATAAGTGAAAATAATTTTATTTTTTAATTAATTATTTATTACTTATTATTATTATTATTATTATTATTATTATTATTATTATTATTATTATTATTATTATTATTATTATTATTATATTATTATTATATATTATATATATATTATTATTATTATTTTTATTAATTTTATTTTTAATTAATTATTTATTATTTATTATTATTTTTATTACAAGTGCATCAATTTTTATAAAAAATAATAATATCAAATTTGGAATTAAAATAAGCCGATTATAAAATTAAAATAAATATATGCATTTTATTTCAATAATAAAAACAACAAAAATAATAATATATAATATATTTGCTATGAACAAAAAGTGATGAGCCTATAGAATGTTATATATAAAAAAATATAAATATAAACAAGTCAAGTGAAAATATAAATAAATATTTAATAAATTATATAAAATATTTTATATTAAAAGAAAAAAATAAAAAAGAACTTTAAATAATTTTGGTAGGCCCTATAGCGAACTAGGTTGAATGGGTGGCTTACTCTGATTAGATTTTTGTCATTATATGGAACTGAGAACTTTAGTCTATAAAATCAAAATTTGTGATTGATGTGAATGAATAAATTTATTTTTTTAAAATTTATAAAATGTTATAATTTTGTTTTATTTCTGCATGTCAACAATAAATAAATGATCATTGCTTAAATTTTATAATTGAAAGTCTGTAAATAAAATAAACATTTCATGGGCATAGTCAGGAGGGTATATGAAACGTCGATCCATTCCATATTTCTAATAGTGCATTTGAAGTTATATTTTATAATGAAAAGAAGGTTATGAGATTATGATCATTCTTCTTATGCACAGTATAACGATTGTGAAGGTATTGGGCCTATATGTATGGCCATATAATTAAAATCATAAAAATTCATTTTTAATTTAATTAAAATAAAGTCATAATATTCAGATTTTATAAGATTCATTATTATTACTTTATAAGGTTTTGTTCCCATGCTCGCTAATTGAATTGCTGTAGTATAAACACTTATAGTACGCAATTATCGCAAATATGGATGCGGTAATTCGGAAAAGCAAAATTCGTTTAAGATTCGTTTAAATGTTTATTAAAAAACTTTCAACAATAAACTCAATATTAGTTAATTTATTTGTAGATCATTAACACAATAGATCTACTGTCACTGCAGTGGTTCACTAAGTTAGAACAGTAACTGCAGTGGTTCACACAGTACCCTATTACTTGTAGCACTTTATAATAAAATTGAAAATATTCTTATCTCAGATAAATTTATTAACGTAAAAGTTTTTGTTTTATTGATTTGTTGCTAATTCACATATGAGTACTACAGCCATTGACATATTCCTTAATGTCGCTACACTGTCTTTAGTGCAATTACTAATAGCTTCTTACCAACAAATGCGAATATTCTTTAAACTTAAAGATAGAAAATTTTATTTCATTTTAAATTACTCAACTTTAAATTGATAAAGTGAATAGGAAAATAAACAAAAATAATTGTAATTGGTTTTTAATCGATTTTTAAGACCCGCACGTGAACCTTCTTGAGGTATTGAGGTACTGACAGAACGGTTAAGTAATTTGTCAGATATCAATTTCTCATTGAGAAACTAGTGAACTTTGATGATTGCTACAATTTCTATTAAGTCAATTATATCACATGAATAATTCATACAGAAATACGATATTTAGTCTGAAAATTGTTTTTAATAGTAATGACTCTTGAAAAAAGAGGAATATACTTACTATCAGATATTCTGAGTAAAAAAATTTGAAGAATAATATATATTAATTAAATTTGTTGATTACCTATGTACAATAAAAGTACATAAAATTACGTTAATATATTCGTAATATAAATTTATCAATTCGTTATCAATTATGTTTATTTTACCTAATTTTAATCTAAACTCTTTAATTACGTAGATCTATATAAGATTTTTTTTAAATTCTTTCCACTAAATCTATTAATAGCTGTATTCAATACACCGTTCTGTAATCTAGTATACTTTGGTGGTTATTATACAAGTTATATGAAGTTAACTGATTCTTATGTAAACTTAAACTATAGATTTTTTAACTTGCATTCATCATCTCATCAACAATTTTTGCTCTCCAGCTCACAGTGAGCTCTGACCCTGGCCTAACAGTCTCTTTTTACGCAGTGAGTAGCCGACATAATGTTAGCTAGAATGCTTTACCCTGCAGTTCAAGGTATTACAGGTATTATATTTGTTAATGTGGCTTACTTATAGCAGACTGTTTAATTCAGACATCTATTAATCTATTCCTTCTTCGTGTATAGATGCCTCAATATTGATGACCCCAAAAATCGAGGTAAAATTTTGCTTGCCATTCTCTGTCACCTATTTTATTGAGTAGTTATAAGAGGAAACAGTTGAAAATATAATCCTTAATTTGAAAAGGATTTAAATTTTAAGTTTATACTATATTGAAATGATTATCTTCCTTAAATTATTTTGCAATGTAAGCTTTTTTTTTTTCATCTTGAGCAATTTGTCACAGTCTTTTCTTGTAGAACCTTTGAATTCGATATTTAAGGTAAATATTTACACATTCTTTGAAGCCAAATGTTTCCCAGATATTGTTTTAGATAAAGTTCCAATTCAATTATTTCAACTAAAACTCTTGTATATCTTAGATATCATTATATATATATAAACAACAAGTATAAATATAAGTCCTAAATATACTATATACTAGGCTCTAATCATATATTAAGATACTAAAATTATTACACGTATTGAACTGTGTTTTTATATGTTCAGATAATTAAACGGTCTCAAAATGGGTGACATGTTCCGTACGGAAAAGATGACATTATGTCAATTATTTATACAACCGGAAGCGGCATATGCTTCAGTAGCAGCATTAGGTGAGAAAGGTTGTGTACAATTTAGAGATGTAAGTTCCTTACTATTATATTTAATATACAATTATCAATCAATTAAAAATCAAACTCAATTTGATTCGCAGCTCAACGAAGGCGTAACTGCTTTCCAACGAAAATTCGTAAATGAGGTACGTCGTTGTGATGAAATGGAGAGACAAATGCGTTATATAGAAGCTGAAATAACCAAAGATGAAATCAAAATACCAGAATTGTATTTCGATGAACTACCTGATGCACCGAATCCTAGAGAAATAATCGATTTAGAAGCCAATTTGGAAAAAACCGAAGTTGAAGTACGTGAACTCGCAGCAAATGAACTGAAAATAAAAACAAACCATTTGGAGCTCATCGAAATGCGAACGGTACTCGAGAAAACAGAGGGTTTCTTTTCGGAACAGGAAGTTATTGATTTAGATATTAACCGTAGTAACATCAAGACAAATACCGATGGAGCTAATTTAGCTTTTGTTGCTGGAGTTATTAATAGGGAACGTGTGTTTGCATTTGAACGCATGTTATGGCGTATGTCACGCGGAAATGTTTTTCTAAAACAAGCCGATATGCATGAACAGCTGAAGGATCCGATTACTGGTAATGTCCTATATAAAACCGTTTTTGTCGCATTCTTTCAAGGTGAGCACTTGAAACAACGAGTGAAGAAGGTTTGCGCCGGTTTTCATGCTGCCATGTATCCTTGCCCAAGTTCACATGAAGATCGCATTGGTATGTTAAAAGGAGTGCGTACACGTATTGATGATATTAAAATTGTGATACAGCAATCTGAAGATCATCGTAGTCGTGTACTTAATACTGCTGCTAAGCACATAAACACTTGGACTGTTATGGTAAAGAAAATGAAAGCCATCTATCATACACTAAATTGTTTTAATATTGATGTGACAGAAAAGTGTTTAATCGGAGAAGGTTGGGTACCAACTAAAGATATGCCCACCGTACAACAATGTCTTTTAGATGGGTCTTCAGCTGTAGGCAGTACAGTGCCTTCATTCCTAAATGTTCTGGATTCACATGAAGCACCACCATCATATATACGTACTAATAAGTTTACTAATGGTTTTCAGAATTTAATTGATTCTTATGGACTGTCTTCATATCGCGAAGTCAATCCCGCCTTGTATACATGCATAACGTTCCCATTCTTGTTCGCTGTAATGTTCGGCGATTTGGGACACGGATTCTGTATGTTCTTATTCGGTTTGTCAATGGTAATCTATGAAAAGAAACTGGGTAGACAACGCAGGGGAGAGATTTTAAATATTATGTTCAGTGGTCGTTATATTATAATGTTGATGGGTCTATTTGCTTGTTATACTGGATTTACTTACAATGATATATTTTCGAAATCACTTAACGTGTTTGGTTCGAAGTGGCGTATACGTTATAATACAACCACCGTACTCACCAACCCCACACTTCAGTTAAATCCGGAATATGCTACTGTGGGTGTTTATCCCTGGGGCTTGGATCCGATTTGGCAATTGGCGGATGACAATCAAATTATTTTCACTAACAGTTATAAAATGAAATTATCTGTTATATTCGGTGTTTTGCATATGATTTTCGGACTTTGTCTTTCTGTGGAGAACTTTATATACTTCAAGCGATATTCAAGCATCTTTCTGGAATTCTTACCACAAGCTCTATTTTTATTGTTACTCTTTGGTTATATGGTATTCATGATGTTCTTCAAATGGGTGAAATACTCAGCCACATCAGATATTCAATCTAATTCCCCTGCATGTGCACCTTCGGTGTTGATCACATTCATAAAGATGATGTTGTTTGGGGAGATGACCGCGCTTCCCGGATGCGATGCTTATATGTTTAGTGGACAAGCACAACTGGAAAAGATTTTTGTGATTGTTGCAGTTGTTTGTATACCATGGATATTGCTAGGAAAACCGTTTTGGATAATGTTCACACGCAGAAACAACAAAACTGTAACTATCGATTAAATAAATAAATATTTTTAAACAACAATTAATATATATATCTTTATTTGAACAGACTAGTTATGATGTGGAATCGATTGATGAAGATAAACCAAGTGAAAGTAAAGCTGCTGTCGCTCATGGTGAGCCTGAAGAAGAACCAATGTCCGAAATATTCATACACCAAGCCATACACACAATTGAATATGTGCTAAGTACGATTTCCCATACTGCTTCTTATTTACGTCTATGGGCTTTATCGTTAGCTCATGCAGGTAAGAAATGTGATGTATGCAGTATTATGGTGACATTCAAACTGTATACTTTATAGAGTTATCACAAGTATTATGGAATATGGTGTTACGTTTGGGCTTGACTATGAATAGTGGCTATATAGGGATAGTAGCTGTTTTCTTCCTCTTCGGTTTTTGGACACTTTTAACTATTGCTATTATGATCATGATGGAAGGTTTATCAGCATTTTTACATACACTGCGTTTGCATTGGTAAGTGATTGGTAACTTGGGAGTTATAAGTAATGTTCTGATATGACATATTAAATTTCTTTTATAGGGTCGAGTTCATGAGCAAATTTTATTCTGGTGAAGGATATGCTTTCCAACCATTTAGTTTTAAAATTCTTATAGAATCTAATTTTGATGATTGAGAGTTGTAACGTATATTTTGAAATGTTATATTTTCAATAAAGTTATGCATTAATAGATGAACATTTATTTGAGCCCGGTATTCCTTTATGTTTATTCTGAATTGTAGCAATTGGGCTAGTAAATCAAAATGAATTTAATTAGTATGATTCTAAAGCATGTTTGTTGGTTTCTTTAATTCACGATGTTACTGAACGTTAATTATTGATCACGTTATAATTGAACCTTTTTTGTAAAGGATTCAATTGAACTACTATTTGTACTTAGTAAGTACAAACTACTTGAACTACTTAGTAAGATACAGCAAACTAGTCTAAGAAATACATATAGTGCTGTGGTATATGGTCAGAGGCGACCATATACTACGACGAGAGTAATGAGTAACTGTTTGTATGAAATGTAAGTCAAGCAGTCCTTTCTAGGAAATCTCTGTTTTGAGAGCCTTGAATTTCTATAATTTATTTCTCTTAAAGATGGATCGTATGGTTAGTAGAGACAAAGATTTGGTTGTAGCCTTTCAATAGTGTGTGAGGTGTGTTCTTATATTTATATATACGTGCTAATATGGTTGTTGAATTAATTTGTTTAATTCAAATGATTAAGTATAAAAAAATGTTATACCAGATTTAACACTCTGCTGTTGTAATTAATAAAGTACATGAAGTTATGAAATAAAAATTTTAAAAAAATAATTATTGCAATGAACTTCATTAAAGTAAATAAAAATTTGCTAATTACAGCAAAATTCTTTTAGTTAGTCAAGTACACAGAACCATGAAGCTTCCGCGCTTACAACATAATTACAAATGTGGAGTAAGCAAAATGGAGCGAATCTCAAGATTATTTATGGCGGTGGAGAAGCAGCACTAGAACAGTTTCCAAAGCGCTTAAGTCGTGTACGGTTCATTAATCATAAGAAAAGCGACTCGGATTCCAAAACTCGAACCAGTAAAAGTGGAAAAAATGTCCTTTTTTAAGGCAATTTTATTAACGTGTACGGTAGTGTTTCTCAAGTACTGTGCTTGTGAAGTTTTGGTGCAGGTAAACGTAAATCGACCTTTTAATGACGTCAGTGAAAAGTTTATAAGTTTTTCGGTACGACCAGAGGACTTGTATAGTGCTCTAGATGGACCAAAAAGGTAGGATTCTGGTGGGTGGCTTATAAGGAAGTAAATAAAAAAAATGTATAACGCATTACAAACAATTAAATGCACAAGATTTTATTTTATATTAGAAAAGATATGTATATTTGTAACGAACATTTAATTTTATATAGAAAAACAATGACTCAAATGGCAACTACATTAGGTGATTCGTATATAAAATTTATTGGTGATTACTTTTTTGCCGCAAATGCTGAAACTAAATTGAGAAATCCTACTAAAGTTATATGGAAAGGTTTTAATCGATGGACCAGGTATATTAAATAATAGTTAAAGAATGCAATGATCTAACTTTTTTAATAAAAAACCCAAATGTTATGATTTATTTTAAAATAAATTTAATTTTTTGCAAACTTAGAGCTGTGAACTGGACTATGGTTATTCCGGTACCATACACACCAGGCGATTGGGAACCTATGCATGCCTTAAAAATTCTAAATACTTCCTATATGGTTGGCATATCAGATTGTATTTGGCAGTTAGGAACAGGTATGTTATAATAATATAATAAATATTTATAAAAAAATAAATTTCATGATATTCATGATATTTTGTTTAGATTTTGGCGTTTCCCGTGCAGAAGATTACGTTGCTGAATTAAAAACGTTTAATCTGATGGTGGAATCATTTAAATCTTATGTCGACGATTGGCAAATAATGGGTGCTGATATTTCCTCTGGTAGTACTGCTGATGAAACACGACAGTATATCGAAATATCTCAGGATTTAAACTCTGCACTTGGCTGGACTGAGTATGTATCCATTAATTATAATATAAAATAATTTATTTAACAAATTTTCTGCAATAGATCAACTGCTCTTACATCAAGCAATATAGGCAAAAATTTCATTAATGAAAATGATCCAGCTCTGAAGGTTTTACTCAGCAGTAATCTACCAATTTGGTTAACTTTGCCATATAAAGCGAAATCAAAACAAAAAAGCAACATCATCGTCGTTGACGATGTGGCTGATGCAATGCGTTGGGCACAAATGATGGGTGATGCTGCTAGCACAGGATTCGATGCTATCTTTAAACACATAAGCCTCTATGAATTGGAAAATCCCACCAACAGTTTTTATGTAACTGCTTTATTTAAGAAGGTTATGGGTTCTCGTGTGTTTCCCTCCAGACCACTACACTTATTCGGAAACAGCAATAAATTATATACTCACTGCGCCAATAGTGTATCTGGAGGTATTGCATTTATGGTTATTAATACGGAGGAAACAGCAAATGAAATTTCTCTGAGATCTCTAAGCAGATTCTCAAGCACAGAAGTTTGGCAGTACATATTAACATTTAAGAAGGGTGCAGTCCAACTGAATAATGAGAAAATTCACATTAATTCCACATTCAAGCCAGTTATTAAAGTTAAACATCCTGATAAGCCTGTTCAATTGAATTCACCCGGCATGTCGGTCAGTTTTTGGGTGTTGCCAACAGTAAATTTAGAGCACTGTCAATTCACAGAAATAGCCGCTGAAGAAGATCAGCAGGATTCGAACGAGTCCAAGGCTACAGAAAAGCGATTCTCTTCTTCCGATAAGTTGTTACGACAACTTATACAGGAAACATCACTTTCACATGGCACCTTTTTAAAAGGTATGAATCGTAGGCGCAGATATGCAACATTTGGAGACAGATCGAAACGTTTTATTTTGGAAGATAAGAACAACAACAAATTCAAGATGCCATCCTTAATTCAGCCAATTGATTTTGGGAACAAAGAATTGTATAAGCGTGATAATCAATATGAAGCCCGTCGTCTACCCGTACTGCAATGGCTACAAAATTTAATGGATCTGTACCCAAATCGGGATAGACGTTTAGTTAAGAGAGATACACATAGCTCTGAAGATTATTTTGGTTCACTGTTTGAAAAAGAGAAAAAAACTCCTCTCATAAAAAAAATTTTGGAAATCAAAAAGCCTGACCGTAAAGTAAAGCCAATATTCAATCTAGAAGAATTTGATGAAGAGAAATTTTTTAAGAAAATATCAGAACATAGTGAACCAGAGTATAGACGTTTTCCAGAAGGAGACATACATTTGAAACATATAACTAATGCTAATGGTGAAGAAATATTCGACTATAATGAAGAAAAAAAAGAAGCAAAAAAGAAGGCATCTGCTGCGAAAAATAAATCCAAAGAAATGGTAAGTGAAATGAAACCCCTACGTTTGTTACCAACGGAATTCTATGAAGCACTCCCATTGCATGTGTTTCAACCCCAAGCGGGAAAAATAAATATTGGTAGTGCCTTAAATTCGTTACTGTTCCCTGAACCTTTTTCTAAAAAGAGTACAACTACGAATAAAAAATTTAAAAGTAAAGTTGGAAAAGAGAAAGAAAAATACAAACTTATTGAGAAAAGTAACAAAAAAGAGAAGGAAGAAGAGAAAAATGGATTAGATGAACATTCAATTGATTCTGTTCCCGAAATAGAGGCGGTTGACATTGGAAAATTTCATAAAAGCGGACAACTCGCAAAAGATTTCTTACGTGCACAAAAGGAATTAAGTAAATCATATTTGAAAGATAGCATAGAAGTTGAGAAAAAAGAGGAGAAAGAAAAAAGCATAGAATCTACAAAAGAAGAAGAAGATACAGATGTTACAGAAAAAATAAGTTCAGCTGAGTTAAGGAAACGTAAGACGCTTGAATATTTAGCACATCATTTCGATAAATATTTCGGCACTTATGATGATGAAAACAAAAGAACAAAGTTAACTCAAAATAAAGATGAAGATGCGAAAAAGAAGGAGTCCGATGATGATCCATGGTGGGATTTAAGTTCTCTGCGTAAGAAACGTAAAACGCGCGCTCTTCAGATTCAAGTACCTGAAGAAGCTTGGTTATCAAATATGATAACAAAAGATGAAGATATAACACCACTAGGCGCTACTATGCCAGAAAAATTTGATCAGTATAAGTATACAATGGTTGATGTGAGTACAGAAAGAGTTGAGAATATAGAGAATGTTCCTATTGCCAACAGAATTATGAGAACTGTAAAGAGAAAGCTTAATAGATTTGTGGACCTTGTATCGCGCCATGTCGGAGAGTGGTACAACACAATTACAAAACATATTGAAATAATTCCAGTTGATGTAACAACGGCCACTAACAATGTCAATTAATATATTTAAAATATGTGGAGGTATAAATTCTGTAAAATATAAGTAGGTTAAAATAGATATAATAGAATTATTTGGTAATGTGAATTTTTAATTTTAATAAATTTTAAATATATATATAATATATATAAATTATATAAAATAATTCATTTTTTTTAATAAAATCGAAGGAATTTTGTAATAATATTTATAGCAGAGGTAATCAAGGTAATCTCATAATTACAAAATGGAATTTTTCTATTTATCATTTCACCATTTAATTCACTATCAGCAGTACCCTTACTTAAGCGTACTGACATATGTAAGAAACTATTCTTTAATAAATAATGACCCATTTTGATACTATGGATGGGATATGGATGGGATCCGCCCATTCGACGGATTTTAGGACTACCTTAAAGGTAAAAATTAGAGCACATAGCGAAGAAACAGCGTTTTAAGAGAAAGTACGACTCCCCAATTCTAGTAGAAGGCAACCAATCTGATGTCAATAACATGATCCCAATTTTTAAGGTTGACAGATCTTTCAGATTAGTTAGAAAAGAGGCTTGTAATCTTTTCTTAAATACTCTTTTCGTAGCAATGATAGGCACTGACATGTGTGGTTGAATACGATTTCCTGCTCATCTGTAGAGCTAAAGCTCCAGCAACATTTATTACAAGACTGATCAAGTTTCATTGCAAATCATGAATCATGAGAACGGGATTGTAATTATGGGATGAGTTGGCTTGCGGTTATGACATTGAGTACCGTTTTGATTAAAGTCAAAGATCGGTACTGCTGGAAATTAGTTTAACAAAAGAACGCTTTTCCTTTTCAGAATAAAGCCAAGGTTTCCTGAACCTATGTTGCCATCCTAGTTAGATAGGTCTGCCTACACTAAAAGAGAGAGAGAGAGAGAGAGGTAACGAGAGAGCCAGAAAGACAGATTATAAATATATCAGTAAAAAAAATACTTCTTTTCATATTGTATACATCCGTCTGGTTTCACTCTGGTCACTTAAACACTAAGAAAAAGTTCCGTTATAATGCCACGTGATTACCAATGATACATATGGTATACCATTATTTGGATCGGAGCACAGCAGCATTGTTTGCTAAAATGAATAATGTCTTCAAGGCAGTTATTGGGGATGTCCTATATATTATTAAAGTAAGTATTTGATTATAAAAAACCCGATAAGCAACGTTTTTTTTTCTTCCTCTTATGCACTACTTTCACAGTTAGGTTAGGTTAGGTGTGGCATTGTAAATCTAAGCCTACTTGAACACAAATAATGGCCCGTTGTGATACCACGGATTCAAACCTCGAAAATTACAGAAATAAAAATAAAATAACCGGGCAAGTCTACCACTTCCGCAGTAGTCGCTTACCTTAAGCTATAGTTAGATATATTTTTGACAGATTTAATGTACATATTTAGAATCTTATAAACTGTTTAGTATTCAATAACCTTACAGTTAATCAGCTATTACCACACATAGAGCATTTAGTATCTAAAAAATGTATTTTTTCCATACTCTTAATCTCGTTGAAATTGGAAAGACTTAAGGAGCAAACTTTACTTGCAGCATCGAAGTACGTCACTGAAAAGATAATTTTCTCATTTTTGTATGTTTATTAAATTATGTATATGAATGATTTTTCGTCAAACTCTAAGTAACTAAGAGATTTATTTTCAAGAGACTAGTTCGAAGTAAATACGAGTAACCTGAGATAGCGATTCACACTTTTACTAGTTCAAAGAGAATTCAGAAAAGTAAGTTCAACTTGAAGTGTTCTCACAAAACAAGGCTTTAACATAAATTATGGATTCACCGCTTTAATAGGCGGCAAAAAGAAAACATAGATTTCAGCGCTCTTAGTGAAATTTAAATCTGGCCCAACAGCTTAGGTAATAGCGGCGAAATAAACCCAACAAGCTAAATGTAGCTCTGAATAGATGGCAACCTGTTGAATAAAACTTCAACGCGATGTTTGAGCCAGTCTTTAAGCGAACGTTCAAGGCGAAGGTTGTTAAGACAAAAGTATCTCATAGTAGAATAATAAATAATAATAATTATTTAATAGTTAAATAAAAAGTGCTAATTTGAAATTTGAAATAAATTAAAAAAAAAAGGTAAGTTATTAATGGTCAATCTGAACTCGGTTAAAAAAATTAATTACTGAAATATAAAATTTTATTTGGAAATTTGCTTGGAATTTATTTTGAAAAATTGCTGCTTAAGTAAAAAGTTGCTTAATGAGGTCAAAATCTGCTCGTGTGTGTTAAGATACAGATACATAATTTTTGTGGAATATGCATGTATATTTAATAAAATTCTTGTAAGTTTTATAGTCAAGAGTTTCGGAAAATAGCCATGAAAAAATGAAATAAGTAAAAATTAAAAAAGAAAAAAAATAAAAATATAAAAAAAGAGAAAAATGGTATAAAGAAAGTTGAAATATGTATCTTGTATCTTCTTCGCTTTTGCTACGTTGTGACGTGGTTAAAAAAAACATTGTTAAATTGTCATTGAACTTTGGTTTTAGCTTTATTTAATGCTTTTTATTCCGATATATTTTATAGCGTTTTTTTTTACATTTTGTTTTTAAAAGAAATATTTCGTAATCTGTAATCTGTAAGTTTTTTGTGGTCATTTCAATGAAGTGAAAGTGTTAGTTTACATATACGTTTCTCAAGAGATTTTAATCATTTATCAAAATTAACACAATTAAATAAAAACAAAATGCATATGTTTATTATATAATAACTTGTTATTATAATGAATCAAAAAATTATTTTAAATATTAACGCTAAATTGTTAAAAAGCACGACTTTAAAAAATCATTTTAATATTATACAATTCTCATATCTATTATTGAATAGATACTATTATTGTAAAAAACGTAAACGAATGTAGTGGACTACTTAAAATACTATAAATAAATAAGACATATTAGCTAAGTCATCACACTTTAAATAATAAAATTAAATTATAAATGATTAATTAATAAATAAAAAGCTTTTGAAATTAATTACTTTATATATATACATATATTAAAGATTTTTTAAAAAAGATATTTATAGAGAATATGTTAGGCGGAAAATGTTATAGCAATAATCTCCCTATAATACAATATTAGAGTAGACACCGGCTGCCTTACCGATTTTAGTAGAATTCATATATGGAACAGTGAAATGAATTAAATGATATGACTAAGCAAAATTTTAATTAGTATTAAACTAAAAAAAATATATGTTTTTTTTTGAAAATATGTATAAATATGTATATAATATATTTTATATACAAAAAAAACATTATTAAACAAAACACACATAGGTTTTAAACAAATTTTTTGGGGATTCAGATTTTATAAAAAACAAAGAAATGAATTTAAAGGATTTCAAATATCACCCAAATGCTAATATTTATAACTGGTTTAGTATTCATATTTCTCCATCAATAATTGGGTATTTTAGGTCAAAAAGATTTATGTTTCTTGAACCGTTTGTTTAACATGCCAATTCTTACAATTAGTTTAAAAATTCGGACCTTTCATATTAAACTTGTTTATATACATGGTGCTCAAATATATCACTTGGAACTACAACATAAGGCACGTATATGTTATTTAGGCACTATTTTATAGTCGTGCCGTAGTCTTAATACTGGCTTAATCATCAACTCTGCTGACTTAATTTGTTCATTCTTAAGTCAGTTTTGAGACTTAAATTACGACTGTGAAAGCGCCCCTAAGAGTTCTAGTACATTTTTTGTTATAATAGACTTAATTCATTCTTAATTCAGTTTTGAGACTTAAGTAACGACTGTGAAATCGCCCCTACCGGTTCTAGTACATTTTTCGTTATAATAATTTTTATATTAATGTAATAATGAAGCTGTTGAAACATTCTCCAACTCATATTCGGTTTATGGATTCGAGATTCTCATATCGGCTGAGCCATTTTAAAATTTGAGATGTCTAACTGATTTGATGGAATGTTATCTATTATAGATCATAAAGAGTTGAGGCTTCTGATATTGCTTTTTGTAATTACTCGAATTTGTTTTGAGCCAGTTGGATACTTTTGGGACATGAATTGTCTTATCTACAATTACAGAACTATTTAAAAGAATACATTATGATCTTTTGTAATGAAAAAGATTTTTTTAGATAATTGTACTCTGCAGAACTAGAATCGTAAACCACTATTGACTTTTTCTTTATTATGCTAATTAGTTTCACTAAATATTGAGAGTTAAATATTGAAAGAGTTTTGACAGAGTCATATAAACAGAGATATAAATAGTTATATATAGCGCGATCGGTTAATTCTACTAACTGGCTAGATTACATTATGCTATCTACATATAAATAGCGAATATTTACTGTATTGTATTTTTATAAATGTTATAAGAGCGTAAAAATTAATTGGTACTTTTGATAAAGCGTTCAAATATTTGGATCAGAAATTCTAAAAGGTTTTTTAAAATTGCATGCAATAAGCCTAACTATAGTTATAAATATTATATAAATACACGTACTAATTTATGGGTTTTAGCACTGCTTTCTTCAATATATATAACTGATACTTATAGTATCGAAGCCGATCTAAAAGATATACTAAATATAGTAAAAGTGATTTTTTTTCCAAATGATTGATCATAAAGAAAAATAAATATTTACCTGATCATCTATAGTTTTCATGTTTAAATAAATAATATTTTTTAGTAGATTTTTTTTTATGGCCTTAAAAAACGAAAATGTAAACAATTTTTTTCGCAATAAATAATTTCCCATGAATTACTCATGTAATTAATTTTGTTATTTGTTTTTTATGATGAAATTGAAATCTACTTAACAATGTTCATAATATTTACAATTTTGTAATTTGAAAGATGAGATTCTTTACATTTGCATTTAAATGAAATCAACTCATTTTTATTGTTTAAGTAGTATTATTTTTAAATTATTCTAATTGATATGTCTCACTACTTCATTTGAATAAAGACTATAAACGGATGTTAACTTTAAACCTAAAGACCTTTACATACACAGTTCTAGAGAATTCACTTTATTCTATACAAGACTTTGTATATTCTATTCTATACAAGACTTTGCATAGAATAGTTTAGTGCAAGTTCCCTAAATCATAAGCTACCAATTTTTGTAATAATACAAAACATAGTTTCTCTCTCATACATTAAAAAAGCCATCCTTACAAACTGTTCCTTTAAACATAGTTTTTTTTACCCTAATAGTGACTACATTAGCATTAACCTCAAAAACTTCAAAGCCCTGACTTAGGTATCTCTCTGTAATAAGCAGGGTGCAATGGTATATCATTGGTTTTAAAATCTATTATACCAATATATATTATTATAAAAATCTATTATACCTATATTAATTAAAATTTGCCTTCGTTTAAAACTCCAAGTTTCATTCTGTTCAATGAAAGTTTGATGAAGTTGAGAGATCCATTTTTTGATTATTGTAAAAGACGACCAGTTGAGATGGGCGAATTTTATTACCCTTTTTTATTAGAATATGCAGGTGCCAGTTTTCTCGTATACGAGTTTTGAAAGGTGGTTGTTAATAGAGTTTAGATTCATTTGGACTAAGAAACTATTTAAAATTTTCATTATTGACTCGAATAAAGTATATTTAGCAACTGCATTTAATTAAATTGATTATGAATAAGACAAAAAATATTCTTTTTCACTTTGCTATTTATTTATGTAGATATTTATTATATATTTTTTTATATATTATATGTATGATTATTGATATATACTTTTTTTTATCGATAACAGCAGTTACAAACTTTGTTAACAATGGTTAGTCCATACATATATAAGGTGAAATGAAGTTATAATTGCAGAATATCGACTTACCCCCTTTCGTAAGATTTATTTTTACAAATTTTTTACTTTAGGTAACCGTTAAAAAAATATAATTAAAATACAAAAAAAGTTTTTCTTGCAATAATATAAATAGATACTTTCTTTATAAAAAAAAAAAATAATAATATTAAGAAATAAAAATTATATTAACAAATTTTATAATAGATTTTGCAGTTTGTGTTAGTTTTGAATTTGATTACAAAATATTTGCTAATTAAATTTAACCTTAAACTCTAAATTTCATCTTGACATACAAACATACAAGATACAAAAAAAAACAAAAAAATTGTCGAAAATTTGTTTGTATCAAAATATAAAGTATCTTAACTGGAATAAGCGTTGCTGATCGTGTGTTGTGTAACAACTAAAATTCAAAAAAAAAAGAGTAAAAGAAATATAAAAAAATATCAATAAAATCAGACTCAGACTGAATTATAAAAATTCGTGAATAAATTATAAAAAATTCATTATTGTTTTTTTACCGCTGTCACGTTGCCACTCTTAGTCCACTAACTATAATTATGTTATAGAAATAAAAGAGTGTTTTGCAGATATAATAATTATTTACTTATGCATATTTTAGATGGGTTTCTTGGGTTTGTTGTCAAGTGAGCATTACGTATGCGACGTCTTTCTAATGGCACTTTTTTCGGCATTCGTTGCCACTTTATTGAGTATTCGCTTCTACTTACGCATAACATCCGGCAGATGCTTCACTGAGTTTAACAATGGTTAGTCCATACATATATAAGGTGAAATGAAGTTATAATGCAGAATATCGACTTACCCCCTTTCGTAAGATTTATTTTTACAAATTTTTTACTTTAGGTAACCGTTAAAAAAATATAATTAAAATACAAAAAAAGTTTTTCTTGCAATAATATAAATAGATACTTTCTTTATAAAAAAAAAAAATAATAATATTAAGAAATAAAAATTATATTAACAAATTTTATAATAGATTTTGCAGTTTGTGTTAGTTTTGAATTTGATTACAAAATATTTGCTAATTAAATTTAACCTTAAACTCTAAATTTCATTTGACATACAAACATACAAGATACAAAAAAAAACAAAAAAATTGTCGAAAATTTGTTTGTATCAAAATATAAAGTATCTTAACTGGAATAAGCGTTGCTGATCGTGTGTTGTGTAACAACTAAAATTCAAAAAAAAAAGAGTAAAAGAAATATAAAAAAATATCAATAAAATCAGACTCAGACTGAATTATAAAAATTCGTGAATAAATTATAAAAAATTCATTATTGTTTTTTTACCGCTGTCACGTTGCCACTCTTAGTCCACTAACTATAATTATGTTATAGAAATAAAAGAGTGTTTTGCAGATATAATAATTATTTACTTATGCATATTTTAGATGGGTTTCTTGGGTTTGTTGTCAAGTGAGCATTACGTATGCGACGTCTTTCTAATGGCACTTTTTTCGGCATTCGTTGCCACTTTATTGAGTATTCGCTTCTACTTACGCATAACATCCGGCAGATGCTTCACTGAGGTAAAAATTGGAATAATTACACATTATGGCTTTAGTAGTCCCAATTTCCCTATTCTGTTGGTTGAAAGTTCTATTTTAATTTATTTCTATGGATGAGTTAAAAACTGTAGACATAATTCTATTTTAATTTTCTTTTCGCATATACGATATAATGTTGGACATTTTTGAAAGTATTTTACATTTCTATTTAAAAAATCTATTTGATATTAATTTTAATAAACAGATACAATATATTTTTAATATTAACAAAATACCTATTACTTTTGAAATAATATTTAAATAAAGATTAAATGTATATTAATATGATACAGATGGTGCATCCGTTAACTAGGCTCCAGCCACGTTATAAGCCTCACTCTAAGTTGTTTATTCATATATGTATATAAAAAAAGTTTTGTTTAAAAAAGTTTTTTTTGTTAAATATATATACTTCTGCAATATAGAATACAATACTTAATTTGTATAATGTGATTTTAACATAATATTAACATATTTTTAATGATTATCAAGTATTGGCCATTATCGAGTATTTATTTTATTCAATTTTCTGCAACACTTAAAGTCGGTCGAAGAAATATATTATTAATATAAGTTTTCAGCGTCGCATTTCAAAACATTCTTCACAAAATATGTAAAACGTTGTTGTAGTTAAAGGCTATTAAAGGCTATTAAAGGCTATTAAAGGCTATTTACTTAGCATTTGTAGGAGAAATTACAGTAATTAGTTTCAATTTTAGTAAATTAATAGACAAGGTGGAGAGGACAATTAAACCATTAGTTCTGTATAATAGCTTAAATAACTTTCATGTACAATATTACCGTAGAGGTTTATAAAATTTATAATTACTGAAAAGAAAGAAAATTTCAGACAGATAAGTAAAACTACTACATACCATAATATCATTATATATCACAAAACAACTAATACTTTTCTAAGTGTCACAAGGAGTAATGTTAATCTACTTAAGTCTCCCATTACAGTTCATTAGGTGATTGTTGAAGTGTCAACATCGTACACTGTTGTTTGCTAAACCTGAAGATGCAATTATAAGTAAGAGTGAACATTTAATGCAGAAATAACACCATTACTTTGAAAATGAACTACTGCCCTATTCAAATAAAAGGAACCGACTTGATACGTCTGTAAGCTTGGCTTTGTCTGAAGTTTCAAAAGATAATATCTCTGTCAGGTTAGGGGCTCAAAGATTTTATTTTGTCACTTAGCCAATGAAAAACACTGATACACAATATGGATTTCAGTTTCCTTCTCATCTGCAGAGCCACTACTCTGACAAAAGTCTTTGGGGTGTAGATTAAAATTTGATTATTTTAAGCATTCCAAATAAGCAACAATCCGATACCATAGTAGTAAGTAAGAAACTATATAGCTTAGGACCCACTTTGCTCCGCAGTGAATTATCATTACTCTGTGTAAAAGACCCTGTAATGATTAGGCACTCCAATTGACATACTAAGACCCAGTTAATTGAAAACGATTTCATGAATGACTGTGTCATTTAGTATCGAGCGCAAATGTAAATTACAACCCTATTAGCAGGAACTACTTTATTTTACCTAGTAATCTCTGTTGGGTATGAGAGAACCGAATTCTTAAACAAAGTTGAGGTATGAATATAAATTATCTATAGAATTATGAGATAGAAAATTCTAATGCAGTATATAATGTTTAAAATTGGGTACGGTTTGTTGGTCTTCCTCCATTTCAGCCGGACTCACAATAAGTGTGTGTTAGAGAAATAAAAAAATCATATATAAACTAAAAACAATTCCCTACTTCTCTAGTTATCTCAACTAAACTTAAATTAAACTTAATTACCTAAAAATTCCCTCAATGTTTAATATATCCGTAGTAAGGTCAGAATTTAATGATGATAAAAATTTTTATGACAAGGTATAGGTACATATAATAAAATTAGTTTTACGGATAAATTAACATAATAAAAAAATTGAAAAAGTTGTTAAAATTAAAACCGGAACAGTTTCATTTAATCATAGCTTATAAGTTTCGTTGTCATACCACGGTATCTTATACTAAAATACACTGTAAAAATTGAGATACTCATTGCTTAATCATACTCATAAAAAGACCGAAAGGTGATGTCGTTTAAAAAATCTGTTGTTTTGTTATTAAATAATAATAAATTTCAATAATTATTAGGTGTAGAAAAGCACTGTAGCACATTATTATTAAATATTTACTATAAATAATTGCTAAAAGGTCGTGATAAGAAGTTAATAGTATTTAAAACTGCAGTTCATTTAAGTTTATTGACGTAATAAGCATTGTTTATTCAGGAAATATAATACGAGTATATAATTTAATGACAATAATACTTTCACCATCTTAATTAGTGGACTCGTATATCTTAATTTTCCTATAGATATACGCGTATACAATCATATTTTCCGAAACTTATAATAATCGAATAAAATGCGGAATTAGATCATATAGGTATAGCGCCAGATAATCAGTAAGTAAACATATTTTATAGTTATTAAAGGTAGAACTTTTTACTATTAGTATATTATTTATACTTTCTTTGCAACTTCTGGTTTCTTCTTAACCCTTTGACTAAGAATGATTAACTTCCCGATCCCGTTTATTCTAATTATTGTACTACTATACATGCTGTAGTTGAGTGAGGGTAAGACCTGATTGGAGTATATGAATATACTATATGTGTATTGTTAACTTAACTGTGATTACGGTTTTGATCGTATCTGATCGTGTTCTTTCCGTTTTTCCGTTATTCTTCTAAAGTATATCTTTAATAGAATAGGTCGTCGTGGCACATTAGCAAAATCCTAAGCAAACTGTTGGAAAGTATGACTCGACTTTTAATTAATCATATATAAGTGAAATATTGATGATACATAATTTTTTTGTGTGGCAACAAGGCGTCTCTAAAAACTCTTTCATGCCGCTATCGATACTATTAATAAAATTTTAGTTGATATTTCATTAAGTAGTAGCAAATGTTGACTATAGATCATTGGGCTATAGATCGAATACAGATTTTTAAAAAATCTATAACGAAATTTAAATTGCTAATAATTTCTATTATTTAACATAAACATTCCTACATCTTATTCTGCTTTTTCTATTTGAATATCGGTCGTTCTTGAAATCCTTCAATCCTTCATCCTCTTCCAGATATTGATACCTCAAATTGGATTTTTTTGGCGCTTTTTAGTGTGACATGATCAGAATTGTATCTCTGGAGTATATACTATAAAATATTCTTTTGGCAGAGTTTTTTTAAGTGTATTATATATAGATTATATTGTTAAGGGTATGGTATATCACCTAAGCCTCCCGGATATGCCACTGCGCTATATTCATAGGGTTCCAGCATCTTCCTCCAATTTTATACACAATTCTGTAATGTAATGATGTAGTAATTAATAATTAAATGTGTTTAATAACAGGTTATTTTTCGTATGACTTCTATTTGTGTAGATAACTTTTTTTATGCATACCTAACGCTTTATATTTTGAATAACAGAGCAAGAAGTAATAAAATAGTCTATATAGTATGTTAGACACTAAATACAAATTATAAGAGTTATATTAGATAGTCTATTTTTTTTATACAACTAACTTGAGTGCTTTTTCCTACGTGTGGTTTCTGCAATAATATACGGATAAACACAGCATTACCATGTGTAATATGTACATAATTATTAATTAATTTTATTATTTATATAATTCGCAACTGTAAACTCTTTAATAATAAATTTGTTTATTTTTCCAGAACAAAATGGAAGGTAAAACAGTCATTATTACCGGTGCAAACAGCGGTATTGGAAAGGAGACCACCCGCGATTTGGCCAAGCGTGGAGCCCGTATTATAATGGCTTGCAGAAATTTGGAAACAGCAAATGCAGTGAAAGGTAGATAATTTTTATTTGTCATATATTAATACAAATATATACATTTTCATTTTCTTCAGATGAAATCACAAAAGAGACTGGCAACAGCAAACTAATCGTGAAGAAACTGGATTTGGGATCTCAAAAGTCAGTACGCGATTTTGCTGCCGATATTGTTAAGAATGAAAAGAAAATCGATGTGTTGATTCACAATGCCGGCATGGCCTTGGCCTTCCGTGGTCAGACAAGTGAAGATGGTATTGAATTAACAATGGCTACTAATCATTACGGTCCTTTCCTTCTTACACATTTACTCATTGATGTACTAAAGAAGAGTACACCATCACGTATTGTCATAGTAGCATCGGAATTATATCGTTTGGCATCTGTCAACTTAGATAAACTAAACCCGATTGGCACTTTCCCCGCTGCTTATTTGTATTATGTATCGAAATATGCAAATATTTACTTTGCTCGTGAATTGGCTAAGCGTTTGGAAGGTAGTGGTGTTACTGTGAACTTCTTACATCCTGGTATGATTGATTCTGGTATATGGCGCAATATTCCTTTCCCACTTAATTTACCCATGATGGCAATTACTAAAGGTTTCTTCAAGACACCAAAAGCTGGTGCTCAAACCACTATTTACTTGGCTACATCTGATGAAGTTGCCAATGTATCAGGAAAATATTATATGGACTGCAAGGAAGCTACACTAAATGCCGCTGCTATGGATGAGGAAAAAGCTAAAAAATTATGGGAAGAATCTATTAAATTGGTTAAATTAACTCCACAAGATCCAAAAATCTAATAATATACATAGATCGACTGGTTAGTGAAAACATTTAAGTTTTTTTTAAAGCTTTTCTAGTTTACAAAACACTTTTAGTTATTTTAAGTATTTTTCCAATGAGTGAGCAGGAGAGAAATTTTATACAAACTATAAAACTTTTTTATTAATAAATAAAATATATTTACTTAAAAATTTGCATTTAATTGATGTATGTCGTTTCGTTTCAATATAAAACAAAAATTAGTTCCATATTTAAGTCAATATATACTGAACAACTCAGCGTTTAGAACCCATAGTTTTAGGGTGTATAACTATCTCTTTCTAAAGCTGTGGTTCCCAATCTATTTTTTACCACTATGACACTTTTGTTTTTATTTTAATATGCTTTATGTATCTCTGGTATAATATATAATGAATTGTATAAGTCCACAACTACATTATATAGGCTATAAAATAGGTATATAATTACTTGGAAATTTTTTGTGCATGTTATTCAATATGTGAGGTCTCAGCTATGTATTCACACCTCTTAAAATTGATTCACGGACCATTTTTAACCATCTCCACCGGTTGGGAACCACTGTTCTAAGGGCTTTATATAGTCCTTAAATGTTCTAACTATTGTATTAAGATATTAAAGAGGATGCAAGGTATGGAGGTATTCACATGTGTTTCAATAAAGCATATATGGAGAAAATTGAAATGATTGTGTCTGCTAATATACGATACTAGTGCACTTGCGGAATTATTTTTACTAATATTTGGGAAATGAAATGATATGCAGTAAATATGGTCCGAAATCTTGTAGCAGTTAGTGACATTTGTTTTTCATTTGTGAGATTCAAAAAGACATTTCAGTTGTTTTTATATAATAATATATTTATTTACTTTATCTTAAATTATAACAAATAACAAATATCGTAGACGCTATCTAAAAAAAATAAAACCAATGGTCTCTATACTCCTTTTCTACCACTACCATTTGCCTAGTCTTAACGGCGTTTGAACAGTCCATGAACAGTCTCGATTCGATTTTGCAAACTGTAAATATATATGTTCATAAAACAATAGATTCTTGTATTGTTAGTAATACTAAATACGAGTAGTATTATCTATATTTCACACAGGGTACTATTGCTAGCATGTAGAAGTTTTCTATACGCAATTATGTGTAAATCAGGACTTGTCTACGGTTAATATTAAACTGTTTGAAGTATGAAGTATCTTTAGATTTACAAGAAAGGTAAAAATTTTATATAAGTTCAAAATCGTTAAAATAGTGCCTTATATACATACAATGTTATTTCCAAAAGCCAGTGTTCAGTATATAGAACAACTTTTGCTAAACTGTTGTATCGCAAGTATAATCTTGACAGATAAGTTTCTATTCATAGATTCATTTTAGATATTACTCAGAAGCTAAAGCAACATAATCATTGATCGGATTACAGACAAAGAAAGCAATTTTAATAAAGATCAAATGGCAAGGACTCTAAACTAATTTTTAAATACTGTTTCAATTATTTACTAACATTAAATTATTTTAAATAAAAGAGGTTATTAAAGAACGATTAAAATTAACAGATTAATATTTAGGGAAGAGAACTGAAAATTAGTCTATGAAACGCATATGTAAAAAGCAAAGTTTTTAAAAAACAATCTATAATATTTAGAGTTCCGACTAGTGGTAGAAAAATCGTGTAAGTTTAAATCAGTTTCTTCTATAACAATCTATACCCCACCATTTTCGGTACCAGTATATAACCAAAACAGAGACCATTATCAATACCAATAAATCCACAATAGTTTAGTCTTTCTACGACTAGGTACTTCATTTTTTAAGCCATTTAATATTAACTATAGACAAGTCCTGATTTGCATATAACTTTCGCTTTCCAGAAAACTTTACTTTTAAATCAAAAAAATTATCAATCCATAGTAATAGTCATAGGTGGCATCACAAAGCACAATAGGTAATAGCTATGTAACATTTTATAAGAGTTGTCTAATCGTAGAAAAGAAACTCTTGTCGTAGAAAATGGTTTGCCGGAAAACTTTTTTTTGAAATGGAATATATTATTTATCCATCTATACAGTACAGAAGTAATCTTAAGGCAGCAAACACGAAACAATATACAATAGATTATGTAAAATTATATAAAGGTGTAAGAATAAATACACAGTAAACTAATTTTTAATCTAGAGTAAATTAATTGAAGAGAGCGATATAAATTTTCTACTATAGAATAAATACGAAGTTGTTTGTCTGAATTGAATTCTAAAATAAATCTTATTAAAAATCTTATTTAGGAGGTATAAATAAGATGAAACGGAAATTATGTGGATCTTATATAAGTAACAGTTTATAGATATGGTAGTAAATGGTTTATAAAATTTATCTCAAAAAATTATTTACAAATAATTAAATACAAGAATTATTTCCAAGACCACTGATGTTGGGTATTTGGCAATACTCGAAACAGCTGTATGGTCAGTCAAAAATTCAATTGATTAAAATAATATAAAATTAATTTTTGTTGTTCTTCGAAAAAAATCTTTATAAAATAATTATCCTGATTTATTATTTGTTATGTTTATATGTTAAATTAAATAAGAAAATCCGAAATCATTTCTTTATGTTCTCAAGAAAATCGACTAAGAAGTCAAAACTATTGTTTTAATAAAGTCACATTTGATGGGAAAAATGTATCACATCAAATCACAGCGGAACAAGCTGTAATCTGATATTCTGGATTGAAAATGAAGGACTTTTACAAACCAAACAGCAAAATCAAAATAAACTGGTTCCAAAAATTTAATTTATTAAATTTAAAATCCTTGCGAGTGAAGCAAAAGTTCCCACACTACAATCGCCAACTCACCTGTTGAATGGCTACTGCTTAAGCCATACACAACCAGTAATGATACTGTAAATATCCCGAAGGACCTTAAATGAGACATAATCTGATAAAAATTGCATGCATTTTGCGTACTCTAACGTCCCCTTTTCCGCACTCAATTATTTCATTGTACCGCAATAAAAGGCGTAAATTTGTGTGCGCCGTTTTGTGGTAGATTACAGGGTGCAGATAAGTTCGTAAGTACATCGAAAGCCAAAAGATACATTGACACGTGACTTTTGCTCTTATCGTGATGATGATTGCTGTTTGCCGATTTGTGCTACAACTATTTTTACTAATTTTTATTTAATGACTGTAATTGAAATTTAATATTTTTCCAAAGGATTATAGATACAAATAACATTTCGCAATCGAATTTGCAGCAGTGATAGATAACGTGAGCTGTTTGTTCGAGAGAGAATAGGATTAATGCCATGTTTGCATATTTACTGATCTTGTCTAATGTCTATCATTTAAGGATTTAATTTGGTTGATTAGTAGTATTTAATTTTTGGTTATGTGTGAACGTTTTCAAGAACAAACTTTCTCACATTGCGGAATAAAAAGTGAAAACATTAATTAATTTTAAGTTTTATATTTAGAAGAGTATTTCATGTTATTTATATATTTTTTCTTGTATTTTTATATTATAATTTGTATACTTTAATGTAATGTATTAAAATTTTTTCTTTAGGCGCAAACCTTGATTAGTAGTAGTCCCTTTGCAACCCTTTCGGAAAATATCACGTTACAATTAATTTAGCGCGCTTCACTCAAGTGTACTTAACATTGAAAACAGAAGGACAAAGAGATATCATCAAAAAAAAAAACATTATTCCAGTATACACGACATATTGATGAGACGATGGTGTAATTTAAGACATATCAGTTTATTAGCCACTGGGCATGGAAAACTATTCCTTAACTGTCATTTTTAAAAGTCAATTTTTAGTGCCACCAAACAACAAAAATTATTTCCTGATAAATTCAATTATTAAACGACATAGTCCTGAAGTTCCTTTTTAATAATTTTGTTAAATTTTTTTTATTTTGTACTTTAAGAACCATGCCTAGACCAGCTGTCACCACTAAGTACATCACACTTTGTCATATTGACACGTTTGTGGTCATTGATACTTTTGGCTGATATAGCAGTTCCACTAATTTCGGAGCAGTTGGAAAAATATTTAACATATTTGGAATATTTGGAGTATTTCCGAAAGGATAAAAACAACTCAAATCTGTCACTTAATGAAATGTGTGTTTTTACTAATAAGTGCTATAAGACATATTTATTGGGCGCGAAATAATAGTGGGTATGGAATAAAAGCAAAACCCTTTTTGTGATCTACACAGAATTCTACTGTCAAACCATATACCTAGGAAGGAAGGACATTCATATGAACACCATAAAAGTGTGCTGAAGTACTGCTTTATAATGAAAAAACGGTCCATGGGATTTCGTAATATAGGCTTTTACATTTGTAGGCAGTTATTAAAGCCAGATTTCAGATTTGTTGATTTTTTCTTACCATGAAGATAGGAATAGGTGTTAATTATTTTAATACAATAACTTATGTTTTTGTCTTTGAAGCCAATAAAGATGCAGCAACATCTGACCACTATGTGTTAAATTATATACAATAATATTCATATGAATTTTCCGATTAGACCCCCTAAAATCCCACTTCGGTGTAGGGTTCAGAATATTCCGGAAGTAGAATATTGTGTGTCCCTTAGGAATGCACTCCCCTCCCCCTTACTTTTTAGAGTATAACTAATAGTAAGTGGTTTCACTTGCACCACTCTACCTAGGGAGAAACCTGGTTTCATGAAATCCAGATGCTCATTACTTTAGTGGTTCTGGATATTCCATAGGATTTGGAAATGTTGAGGTCATTGTGGCTGGTAAGTGAAGTTACGTAGAAGAGTATTAGTATGTATGCTTTCATTTGAGATGGAGTTGTCGGTTGTATTTTTTTCAACCGGGTGCTGTGACCCGATGTAGTTGTGACCTGGGTGCATTCAATATTTGTTCAAATCGTTAAAATGATAAAAGAACACTATCAGATTCAATTATGATAAAACATTCGGTATATTTTCGATTGAAGTGTTGTGGTACGAGCAATAGTTACATAAGTAGACATTTTATTTTATTTATATTAAAAACTGATCGATGCTAAAAGCAATCTTAATTCAGCCTAAATAAAGAAAATTATATTACTTTTATAGTTTAAAATAATTTAATAAAAGAAATTATAAAGATCATTAGAGTGCTGTT